CAATCTTTGTTCTTCACGCATGATTGACTTAGTCACCTAAAGAACCCATACTGATTTGACCAGGTCAGTAGTGTTCTCTGTGGAATATTGGGGAAATTAGATTGCATCATTAACTCTCGGGTTAGGAAATGTATACGATGACCGGTTTAAAAATATCAATGTGGTCCAATATAATATTGTACATGTAAGTATTAGTTACGTATATTAAAAAAATTCTCTCTCTCTCTCTCTTTTCTCCCTCTCTCTCTTTCTCTCTCTCTCTCTGTTGCGCAAGATAAATTCTGCAAAACTGTGAGAAGACACAATTATGCGCCAGCATCCCTGAGTATTATTGTTAAAAACTGTCAACGATACCCTGTTAGTGTGAGTTACATTGAAAATTAGTTTAAATGTCAATGATAAATGTTCATGGTCGCATGTGTTCTAGAAGAACTAATTACTGTAATCAAGAAATAATCCAACATTATGAGCTAATTAGATTAGAATAATTTAACCAAAGGATTCCTTAAGAAGAAATCGCTTTGAAGTGCCGTCCATCAATTAGCTTGCAAAACAAATGTTGTTCTTTCCAAATGGAAAAAGCATTGCAATTGTGTTTCATTTTCATGAAAATCAGAAAAAAAACGCCCACAGTGATCCGATTAAAATAATCGGTTTTGACACCTGAATCAAAATGTTTCAGTTCTCTGGGGTCTTTTGTGAGTGCTGCTGGGCCCTGTGGGTTGCCCTTTAATTGGAAGTTACCGGCAGCTATCATTAAAGGCATGACAAAACTTATGGCCGCACCTAAAAGTCTCAGGTATCGACAAAACGTCGCGTCTCCGTAAATCAATTCAATTCAAGGAAAGCGACATAAAAACATCATTGGCTGTAAACCTTGGTCCCTTACAGCAAAGCGTCAATCAAATCTGTTTACCAAGAGTTTGACAAACCAAGGGCCACAGGCTTCACGTTTCCGCAATTCGAAGAAATTCTGCAATGGGATGTAATCCCGTGCATGCGAAGTCTCATTTTGAAATTCTTGCAGGGCAAGAAGCTCTTCAGAACACGACCCTTAGTAACACCTCCTACATGTGTTGCTCCTTAAGGAAGAACATCTCCTGTCAATTAAAATATTTGAAATGACACAGAAATGCTTTTTCATCACAGCACGAAGAATAGCCTGAAGAACAGCCTGAGGCAACGAACAACAAAGGTGCATCATGGGGCTTTCTTAGAAATGCATAAAAACGAGCATGAAAATCTTGCAGTTACATGCAATTTCTTGCCTATGTCTAAAGGGTTTATTTTTACTGAAAGGAAACCATATATGCAATTTGAACTGAGTGAATATCTAAAAGTACATTAACTTAGTGTGAGAAAACGGTCACGGAGTGAATTTTTTTTTCATTTTCACTTCACCCTTCCTCTATTGCCTTCTCTAAGACCCATTGAAAGAGATTCTATGTTGAGGTCAAAGACGACAAATCTACAAAGTTATTCGTTTATTTGGGATCGAACTGAAGGGGAATATTGTATCCTCGGTGCCCCGATGTATGAGTGAATGAGAGGGTAAGAAACACCTTCTTTATAGAAATACATAAGTTTCAATCAGTCAGGTCTTCAGGGTCGATACTTGTATCGATTGATTTTAGCTTCCTTGGATAAACCAGTTGTAAGTAAATTACGCACAGCTTTCATTTATTTGTTACAAAGAGGATTGAGTATTATAACTAGAGTGTAAAGTATATTATATACTTTAGATCCAATAACAAGGGCGAACGATTGGATTAAACCTAACTATTTAATGATTTTTCAAAGGATTCGTTTTATTTGGGAGTGCCATTTTGGCTAACGTTTTGGGACCAAACAAGGAAAAGATCAACATGGAAATGCTATCAAACAATAAAAAATAAATACGCTACATGTTGCAGTTATTTCTCTTGTGAAATCAAGAAATTTTCTCTTTTTAATTTCTCACCTAATTTGAGAGCTATTTGCGTTTTAAAGATTGCAGGAAATTGCCCTGCTGTTACATTTAAAAACACCAGTACACAAAGAGCATTTTCTTTGTTGGTGCTCTTTGCTTTTCCATTTAAACATTGAATAATTCACGATTAAAGATTCCGTGAAAAATTCTCGAGAAATCAGTTTGCTTCACAAACGCATGCACTGTTATTCCTCTAATGAAGAAAAGAAAATTAATTTATCGAAGAAAAGAGATACTTACTAACAATTAATTGTCGGTGTTGCTGCAGTTATCAAAAATTGCCTCAAAGATGTCTTATTTCTTCTTTTTCATTCCAATTCTTGACACTGAAGTCAATGGTCCATATATGTTAAGTGTCCTGATACTTTGATAAAATGTACGGCATCTGGCGGAAAGGGTGGGTTTCTTAGCTCATCGAGAAAACGATTTTCAGTTTGCCGCTATTTGATTCTTTCAGTAAAAGTACATCGATCCTTTTTCGAAATGGGATTAAATAAAAAAACGCGCACAACATATCTATTTCAATTCCAAAAGCAGTTCTCGAGCTCACTTGATTTGGAATGAAGGCTGAACGGTTGGTGAACAGGCCACCGCAGGCAAACCTAAATTTCAGATCTGCTTGATCATTTCTTGCTTTCTATAAGCTTGTGTTTACTTTCGATCAAGCAGGAAAGAAAGCAGTAACTGGCAAGATATTCAGCAACGGATTCACGCACAGGATGAGACACGAGTGGTTACAAATTACAAAAGAATTTAGTCATCCTGCGTTTCTTTAGAACGCTGCTGGCATATCAACGCAAGCACAAGTCAAATAACATCTTCCCAATTCAGCAAAACATGCTGGTGAAGCATTTCTTGCATAGCGCTTTAAATAATGTGCGTTTACTGAAGACTTAAATGAATATTCATCAAAGTTGAGGTCGACAAGCAATCAAATCCTAGGCAACATTCTTTTTTGTTTATCTATATCCACGACAGACATTCGTTTTTCATCTGAAAATACTTTTTGCTGATTTCTATTTCAAAAATAGACATGAAATTAAAACGGGATACCACAGCTGCATCTAGCATTCACGGCGACATGAAGTATTTATTGCAGTTATGGAAATAACACGAAGAAAATGCACTGTTCGCTACAATGCAGGCACTGCATTTCGTTTTCGTAAGACGTATTACTAGTAGCTTGGTTTCAAATCGATCTATGAGTAGCTTCCATGTACTCAAATTTCGGTTATTCTGTTGATTCCAATACAGCCAAAAAGAACCTCCGTTAGCATTCAGTGTAAGTTAGTTGTAATTTATCAAAAATGAAATCTGTGCTGAATAGATCAGAACCACCCTAATTACCTCCAATGTGAACATAATCATCGGCAACCAAAATATGTATGAATCGAGATGTCTCTTGTGAAGGTTGAAGCATAATACAAGAATATTAACCTTATACAGTGCATGGTATACATGAAAACGGCGTGCACCCACAGCCATATAACATTTATCAAATGTAGCATATACTTTAAAGTGACAATTATGACGCAATTCCCGCATAGGTTTTTATGTAGATCTGTATAACTAAGTAATAAATGCTTGATACATGTAACCTTATACATTTGGTATTCGGGAGACATTTAAGATAGTACAGTATAACCATTTAGTCTTATCTTTGGATTTGGCAAATCTTGGAGACCACTCAAAAAAAAAAAAAAAAAAAAAAAAAAAACTGCCCAACTTATCTTCAGCGAATTTTTGCTCTCGGAAAATTTAATCAAAATTACGAGTTCCCCCATGACTAATCCATGCGTAAGATGCACGTCAATGGATTGTATAAAGGTTGCTCTGTGGTGGACTGAGCCCGCGTCAATATGTAGGCCCCTACTGCGTATCTTCTCCTCAAAACTTATAAAGCCAAAACACGTACAGTACGTTGACTATCGCGCACGTACACAATATTATCTTGTATGAAGTAAGCTTTTGAAGTTAACTCGCAAAGGCATTTTTTTCTCAACGAGGGGGGGGGGGCATCATTTGTATGTCCACGCTAATAAAGGTATACAATACATGGAGTGACGAAGAAAATGGGTTAAGTAACTTTTTAAACCAGAGAATGTGTGTAGGTTGTTACGCACGTCTGGTTATTCATTATTCCGAGTCTACTTTTTTCAAGTTTACTTTGTCCTTTTTAAAGAATGCTGAGTAACAATTTGCCCTTTTAAATTGGAAAGAAGAATGTGCTCTCTAACCTTTTTTACCTCAGCTGTCTCGTATATTTTAATTCTAAGTGTCAGGGAAAGACATCGATGGCATTTATTTATATGCGTTCGTGAACTTAGGATTAAATATTGTTTCTCCGGAAAACTCACTTCATCGTTGTTTCCTCAAGTACTACATCACATGCCATCTTGTATAAACTATAACTGTTAAAATCTAAATAGTTTTGTTTCAAAAGAAGGCATTCAACCTGTTGATGCCGACTAAAGTTCTTTATTAATAGGGTGCACATAAACGAAATTCACAATAAGGATTAACTTATTTCTTGAATGTTTGGAACAGAATGCCTGGTCTCGTCTCGGCGCACATTCTGATATACACACAATATTTCAAACATGGCGGGATGATTTAAGGAAATTGGAAATTGTTTAGCAGAAAGAAATCAGGATCATGGAAAGGTCACCGGACCCCATTGATCATATCATCTTTACAACAAATTGCCTGTCCTGTTAGAGTTGATTGGCAATGTTCACATATTATAGACTGGAAATATCATTTAAACGAGCAACTGCAGCAAAAAAGGGACTAAGGACATTACATAAAAGGCAAGATCTCTCATCTGGCTGTAAATAATGACATTTTGAAACAAACAAATTCTCTCTCTCTCTCTCTCTCTCTCTCTCTCTCTCTCTCTCTCGCAGATTAGTGCGATCTAATGGGGGTGGCACATTCTATGTCATTCGATTCCGTCCACGACATGCACATTATGTGAATTTACAGGCAAAAACCACATAATGTAGTTTTCATTACACCGCTACATACTTACCTCGTTTACCTGCTTAGTTCTCGTGAAAGACTTCGTATAATGAATAGAGCTGTAGTCATTCTGGCGTGACTTTATCCAAAGCACCTTGGTCTATGGATTTGCCTCAGAAATACAATACAAACGCGCGTTCCATGCTGTGGATGAAGTTCTTCTTCACGACATACGCATTTTGAAGCATATTGACGGTTAAAAAACTAAGTCAATGAATAGCGTCTGATGCTCATCCGTTTTCTTCGGTTGAGCGGTGTTCTCACTGCTAACACCTCAAGCGCGTCCGATTCCTGGGGTATTTATAGGATGACATTGACCTTATTGAGAGATTTATGCGTGTCAGAGGTTGAAGGTAAAGAGGCGCCTTGTGAGAGAGCTGCCGTCGAAAGACTTCTCTCACTCTGTGGTTAACAAGCTATCTGTAGCTCTTTGGAATGTGCTGTGCGCGTGAGCCCGATTACCAATTTGTGCGTGCAAGTGTAAAGGCCGTTATACGCGTGCGTTTATGCGAAACGGCCATGCTTATCCCATGCGGTCATCCCATTCTATTACCCCCAACACAAAAAACCTGTGTATGTCTTAATAACACCAAGCTCCAAGAAGCCTACGAGCATTTTTTGACTAAGTACTTAATCTATAAACAGTCATAAAACTCTCGTACGACATGCAACGTGACAAGATACGGGTTCGCTGCTGACAGTTTTAACCTTCCACCGCCCCTGAGAGGTCCCGGGTGATAAAACAGCACTTGCCTATCAAGCTGTATTAATAAGACTTACCGATGGTTGCAACTAAAATATACCACCCACTTTTATACTCGCGTCTCCTCAATTAAGTTCACAGACCTGAAGTGACATGATAATTTTTAAAGAGGAACCACGAGATTTAAAGCACATTAAGCATTGAAATAGGCGTTTCGCACCGGCGATCAAAGTGACGGGTTAAGGACAGATGTTATTTTCTATTTGGCCTTTATACAAGGATGCCGTGCTAATGTTGATTTCTTTTCCAACATGAATATATTCTTCTAGGCATAAAAAAATTGACATGCACACCATGCTTGATTTATCCTGACACGTTGGCCAGCTGGCTATGCGCAGCATTTACACATAGATCTGGTCGTAATGCGTAGAACTGGCTTGTTCGCTGCATATCATTCCGTTAAAAAGAACTTCTCTGAGACACGCTGATCAGTTTACTTTTGTTTTTTTTCGATCACGAACTGTGCATTTGGAATCAGCTAGCGTTACGTGCAGCTAGGTTTCCTTTGAGAAACGAGCTACGGAGAAGGCTACAATGTAGCATACTGTCAGATGAGTAGCATTCACACCGAATAAAATGAGAGTGCTAACAAGGCAGTGCATTCAGGGAAGCCCTGAGTATAAAAATGATTACCGATAATGAGGTCTTGCAATAATGTTGACAAATCAAAATTCTAATTAAAATCAAATTAACGAATGTCGAGTGCCCCATTTTGCGTTAATTCGATTTCTGTAAAACAAGGCAATCGGCATCTGTTTTATGTTCATTGAAATAAAACTGTAATCAGAATAATTGAATTACACGCCTGCGGGAGAACACTGAAATTTGGTTAAGCACAGTTCACATCACACTGACATCGTTACTGGCAGAGAGAGAGGGGGGGGGGGTATAACTTTACCCTTGCGTATCTAACAACAACCCTGTTCATGATTAAAGTTTGGAATAGCGACATGAATACAAAACATTACAACACACGATATCACCTGTACGTCGACACCATGCCGTGGCGTTAAAATAATGTTAACACGCAGTCAATTTTTTGTCCCATCTAATGCCCTAATCAAAGTGTATGCAAGGAATCAAATCTTGCTTGAGAGGATGGGAGCTCTGAATGAGGGACGCACCATGGAGCAGGCCGATGCAATGGCAGATTACACTTTATTAGCTGCACTCAAAGCAATGCCAATAAATATATTAATCATTACGGTGCAAAAAAATGACCCAATGCTCATCAGTTGGAAGAAGTTTGTCTAAATGGGCGATTTGCTTACATTAATGCAGAAAGGTAGTAAGACATGCAATATTAGCTCAAAAAACAAATACTTACCCTGCCTACCAAACCGTGTACCAGAGTGATTTATGAAGCATTTTAGCACTATATGTACCCTAACCCGTAATTTAACAAATGTATAACAATAGCAAAATACAAAGAAATGGAATATTAGTGGAAACAAGAAAAATACCAGAGCTGCTTCACCTTAATTCTATCCCCGTGCACCCACTTTTTTAACCTAAATTTTAAATAGCCAGGGTGTACATGGGACGCGAGGTTCAGGAATCAGTGTTGATGGCTTTATTCCATCTACCCCGTACTGTTCTAATGTTCAGAGTTCACACCCACAATGGCCGTCTCCTATTTCAAATATAATCCCATTTTCCCGGAAATAAAGGCTCTGTTTATCGGGATATTGCACTAGTCGAGATATATGACGGTTCTAAAATAGGTAATTCATCGACTTTATAACGGCGCTACCGTCAGTTTAACTCCATCTCTATCACTTCGACGTTCTTCATGCTTGGTAAAATATTGCAAGCAACGTAAACAGATCCACGATGCCATTCTTCCAATCAGTATTATTCAAACGACTAAAATGCGTGCAATACAAGTTGACATTTATCATCATAAAAGTTTGTTTTTTAAATGTTTACGGAAATTGCGACATCTGTATGATGAACGTGTATGCCATGTCGGGCAATTTAACAATTACACGATTGCTGTAAAATAAGAATCGAAAGCATTTCACAGGCTCAGATATCGGTAGGCTCAGATATGATGTTGTAATAAAATTTCGTTGTGCTAGGTGTCATGTATGCAATGTGCTGTTTAAAGATTTTATTGTGCTAAGTGTTATGAATGCAATGTGCTCTGTAAAGAATTCATTGTGCTGGGTGTTATAAATGCAATTTTTTATTCTGGGTGTTATAAATGGGTAGAATCCATCAGATAGACCGGTGCTGTTCTGTGAGAAAAAAAATATATAATAATTTTCCAACATTTCCTGACATTTCTTGTGTGTTGCTAGGGTTAATTTATGTGTCAACTAGCAGGCTAGGGTGTAAACTACTGCCTATTTTTTTCTGGACCAGGCACAGGTCTCGTGCAGTGTGGGACCTCAGTATATTTTTGTCCCATTGGGAGGTATGTCAGTGTGTCTGCTGTCCAAGGGAATAGGGGCTTAGGTTTCACCAAATAATTTTGTTTATGCAGCTTTGCGGGTATTTCTTAGTATGGTCGTCAATGGGAAATTATTTGGTGCATTGTCCTGTTAAAAGAGTTCATTGTGCTAGGTGTTATGAATGCAGAGAGCTATATATGTGTTGGTTGTGGCACGCACGATGACTGGGGTAGATGTGATATGAGGAATGTGCTCAGTAATAAACACCAAAGAGTGCTACGCTTGGTATATGCCTCATTTTGCTGACGACCCCACTGTTCGCAACCGTTAGTTTATGACAAAATTATTGTCTAATTTTTTTTCAAATATCAATTATTATTATCAATGCATTTAAAGCATGTAGCATAGTTACAAAGAATTAAGTAAAATGACTAAAAATTGGTTCAAATGACATTAGTTTTAAAACCATATCAGTTCGGGAATTCGGTTAAATAGCCAATTTTACTTAAGACAATTTAAGATAAATAATTTTTTTTCAACTAACGTTTCTATGCTCTGTTTCAGGCAAATGACTGAAAAACATTAATTAAAGTAATTTCGTTGTGAATATCGGTAAAAGAAATTGTTGTCTTAATCAAAACACGAAGATGAGAACAAAGCGTATTCTATAACAACTGGTGCCATATGACTATGGGAAATAGGTTACCAAGTGAAATATTTGAAACAGAGAGCTCTTCATGCTGATAATACAAAACAGTGTTTGCATATTGCAGTCATTGTTTTCTCGTTTTTATTTTTCAACATAAAAGGCACATAAACAAACTGCTTTGTTTTGGTTTGTCTTTTGAAAAAAAGGCACAAAATATCACAAATATATCAAACATATGCTAAACATATTAATGTTTTGGAGGTAAATGTACCGTAATGTTAGCGCGTTGTTATCATGTCAAATATAGACCAACTGCAATCTATGACGCGTCCTAAAGCACGTGGTATATCACAAACTCCAGTGTTTCATGTACAAAAAACTGGCGACCATATGTCATGTAACATAGTTTTTGCAAGTCCACTCAAAACACAATACATTTATGCATCTGCTCCTGAACAACCTAAATTTGAGCAAACATTGAAATTACAGCATAGTTATATCATAAATTCAGGTTAATAACACCCAGATTAATAAAAACAACTTAAATCTCAGCAACAAATCAATTCGGCTGCTTCACTTTGACTTACTTGGGTGGCACCCTGTGCCGATGCGATATAAACCGGCACGTACGGGGTATAAGCTCACTTAGCAGCGGATATATTACAGACAAATTCGTGTTAGACAAGCAATAATTCCATCGCTAATCAAGCGACTAGTCAATACACTGTGCGGAAGATGTATCATCAGACGCGATAGCGTTAATGGTGCTAAATGAACACCAATGGTCCAAAAAACCTGACCTTTATTCAATCAGAACGACTTGGCAAACGTCATTTGGCCAACGCAATAGTGGCCAAAGAAGTAGCGTTTGAACAGGCAGTGGCTACATGTAGACTAAACCTCCGTCGACTTCACTAGTCAGCTTGGTCATGATTCATCACAGACAGAAGACAGTATAATCGCGAAAACTTGCTGCTCCAAAGATTTTTTTGAAAAACTACTCGCTATATCTACCAGAAGTATCTGCATTATCATTGCTGCATTATTTAAAAAGAGACACCTTTTCCCATCATATTAAATTCTATCGCACCGCATCACATTTAATTCTATCGCACCACTTTGAATATTGAGAAGTGATGATGTTGAAATGCACATATTGTAATTCATTATTTTGTTTTGTGGCTTGATTGTATGGGATTATGAAAAGGAATTCTTAATCTGACTACTGTAAATTAAATGTAATTGTAATAAATTAAAGACAGATAAGAAGTATTTATAATGCCAATAAAATGACGTCATAATCACATATATAGCAGATCAAATTCAAGATATGTATGCTAACACTGTACCGACCATTTAATCAAATTACGGCTTTGATTAGCCATAATGGTGATCATCATCCTCATATACATATCACATGTCTGGATGATTTTCCATGAAATGTACATCCAAAATGTGCCTTCAGATTAACGCGGAACCACAAACCAACGCTTGAAGCATATAACAGATAGATGTACCACGTACATGTAGCTCTTTTCTTCCTTTATTGCATCGTATCATTACATCATTCCGTTGCCATCTGTTCCTCTACTTGAAAGCAATATCATTTTTGATGTTGGTTATGATTATGTTGTCAGAGCAAGTGGGTACCTCTCTCTCCTTCTCTGCTATTTGTTGTCTCCTAAAGTGTATGTATTCAACATGTACACTGTATGTATGATTCTTTTTATTCATTGTATATTTACATAAATGATACCAATTGGTACATGTAAAATGCCAATATCTGAAAAACCAACCAACCAACCAACAAACAATTATTCTTTTAATTTACCGTTGAAAAATAGGATAAGGACAAAGCATATGGAGCGTGGTTTAATTCGGTTAATAATCTAACTCCTAATTTGCGGGGACTGATAGGAGAGTTTGATTAATTAAATGACTTTATAACGTGCGTTAGAC